GGAGGTAGTCAACAAGAAACCTTGGAGCCGGGTTTCATGCTACTTGGCACTCTTCAGCAACGTGTACCTGTAATATTGAGGTAACTGATGCTCCCTGGCGGATTCGATCTCGTGTCACCCAGCTTCACATGGTCGATACCATTCGATCTGCACTAGCAAGGACTTGACACGCATGACATTGATCGCCACCCACTGATCAATCAATTGTGATTACATCTCAGTCCTACAGGAGGTCAGTCGTGGCTCGGATAGTTCAGTGGTAACGTCTCTGACTGTGAAGCTGGGTGACACGAGATCAAGTCAGCCAGGGAGCACCAGTTCCCTCAAGATCCCGTGTCACCCAGCTTAACTGTCAGAGACGTTACCACAGAGCTATCCGGACCGTGACCGACCTGCCGTAGGAATGAGTTTAAATCACTAGGTAGTGATCAATGTAGTGTATGTCAAGTCCTTCTTAGTGCAGATCATATGCCATCGACCAAGGGTGATAATATTTTAGTACCACCAATGGAAGTTTGAAGCATTGATATCAGACGCTTACAAGTTATTCATCTTGGTCTGTTTTTTTTATGATTACAGTCCAAAGGCAATATCGGGGGCTCTATTGAAAAACTCACACTAATCGCCACCCTTAATTGATCCCAGATTGAAAGCTATAACTCAAAGATAATCACCGTGAAAATGTCCACATACTCTCAAATCACGGCCCGGGAGTTAGTAATATCCGACATATCTTTATTTCAGGACGACGGAAAAAAGTGGGATGGGAGGTGTAGCAGCCCTGTACCTATGATCTCGCTCAATAGCATATCAAGCGTGGAACCCTGATGAATCTGCATGATGATCACCGAGATTGTCTAACACCTCAAGATGTCTAGCTGGCATCATCTGAACTATGCCTATCGCTAACTCTAGGTATGGTGATAGTAGTTTGGAAGGGTCATTCCACTCTTTTCTTCTCGAGTACACTCAAATCCTGGTTTTTAAGGACTTTAGTTTTTCTAACATCAACAGATACGATTAAGGTGGTAACTGTGCTGAAACTTGTTTAATCAACCTTATTGGAGAGTTGAAATTGTTCGGAAATGTGTGGTAACTTGTTGGAGAAACAGTCGGACTTCGTCACGTTTGGCCTGCATCATTGTAAGCGAAGAATCCCTCGTTGAAAACCCCTTGATACTGCGTTTACTGGTAAAATGTGACCAAGCCGTCATATCCTGCAAGTCTATAGGCGTAGAACATCTTACTAACAATAACCATCGAAAATTCAAATGTTTGGACGAGTATGCACAATCTACTGAATGTGGATTGGGAAGTGTGCCTCCAGTTGGATGTGGAAGCACACTAAGGTTTCTTATTACACAAAATATTGTGTGCCACAAACCACTCCACTCCCCAAACGGTTCATGAAAGTTAAGAGCAACGTACAGACATAAAGGACCGCATTTTTCGGAAGGTATCGTTTGGGGGAATGCACATGAACTCGTTACAATAGGACATGGACATTTCAAACAAGCAAGGAGCCAGTGCAAAAAGGCAAGAAACAAAAGAAAGACCCAATATCATATCGTACTAATTGGCTAATTTGTCTCTAGTTTAAGAACCCTTAACTGGAGTTTCCTACTTTTTATATACTAATGGTCCAACCAAGAGCGAAGGCGATGCCTTAGTGCTCCTGGAAGAATAGTGCTTTCATATGTTTAGACTGCCACATACAGACTGCATCGAAACGAGCTTCAAATGCATTTTAAAAGGAACCTGACAGCTAGATTTGTGTATCATTAACTGCAGCATCTAAACAAGGACAATGCTCCTGGCTTGCATGTGATAACGTCTGAGAGAAGATACTTTTTTCATGGCAATACCGCCTAGCGTTATGTTTTTACAATCCCTTATTCGAGTCCCAGTCCCAGACGACTGGAAGCTGAAGCACATCTTAACAATCTTAAAAGGATCTTCGAGCAAATGGTAAGAAATATCTCACTCAATACGTTTGAAAGTTGTGAAGTCTTTGACAAACGACAGTCTACGTCTTCATATCTCAACTACGGGGCTTCGGGAAGGGTCACTCCTCGATAATCAACTTCTGACCTCAGTGGACAGACGGACAACCACCCATGATCGCAAGGGGAAGGTTTATGTCATATACTTTGACTTCTCAAAAGCGTTCTATGGAGTGGATCAACAAGCTCAAACTGTTAGGTTTCTAGTCACTCAATAGTATGATTGACTTTGAATCTAAGTAATCAACTTTTCACGGTCCGAGTAAAATTTACTTATTCTCGGACCACGCGAGGTTCTAATGAGAACTGCCAAAACTCGGTACTAAAAACTTTTTTTACCTTTGATTTTTATGTAGATGACCATTTTGAGCAAGTATATTCTGATTTACAGATGTCGCGGATGGTGTTAAACTTTGGAGGGAAGTTTGCGCCACGATGACAAGCTAGTACTTCAAGAGTACCTGACCTCATGTCAAAGGGCAAAGTGGTCAACCTAAAATATGTTGTGGACTATGTACACAAATTAGGTAATCTCCCTCTGGAGGTATCCCAAGTTGAAAATGACTTAGGGGTGATGGCACCACGTAATCTGAAACCTAACGCTACGCGACAAAAATGAGTTTTAAAGAAAACCTTGCATTGGTAATGTTAAAGCATATTTTGAACAGTTTATGTCAGAACATTACATTTAATATCTAAAAGCTTTATTCCATCCAATTTACAGTACAGAATAAAGTATTTCCTTACTCACTCCAAAAGAATGAGAGTATACTAGAGCACAGGCGAGCCATGAAATCAATTTCGGGTCTCAAATTCAAACCCTATGGAGAGGGCCTCGAATCACTTCATCTTCGTTAATAAGAGTATAGAGGTCTCAGAGGTGACCTGATGACTCGGTGTGAAAACATGTATGCTGCTAGTATTTTGTTAGCCATTGGTTTTTCCGCTAGCCTGCTGTGTATTTAGAGTTGCCCTGATGTAGTAGCAAGAAAAAGAGAGCATACATCGGGTATTCACATATCAAGCTCAGATCACCTCTTAGTCCGCGATCAGTCAGTCAGTCATTCAGTCAGAGATAGGACATCGTAAGGAGGTCTAGCTACTCAAGCCGCCAATTTGTATGGTAAACCCCGGATTTCTGGAATTGCACGGAAAGCCTCCCTCCGTACATTTTCTAGGATATCCGAGACACCATTTAAACAGGAGCTTGCAGCCTGAGAGCGGTTGTCGAGTTCCGATCTCACTGTGGTTGTGTATACAGTGGTGAATATACTAGTATCTAACTTTGTAAGTGTCCGACTTAAAGCCCATAGGACTCCACACCTCTTAGTTGCAACCTCATGACAATGGGCTGTGGTCTCAACACCATGACTCAATGCCACCCCAAGACTCTTGGGAGACCAGACCACGGGTACAGGCGCTTCTCCTATGCTGTACCTATTTACCGAAGTGCGTGTGGACATATTTGGCCACTTTTTAGACCAGCTGATCAGAACATGTAAGTCCACCTGAAGTGTGCATGCATCTGCGACTCTTGTTGTTCCAAGTTGGATTTTTATATCATCAGTGTGTAGTAGTATTGGGGGCTCAACTGTACTAAGGAGATCATTTACATACAGTATAAAAAGTGAAGGACCTAGGACAGAACATTGAGGTACTAGGCTATTATATTGTACCACATAGCTCCTTATAGTAAGGAAAAACGACAAGATACTTCCGAATATGTCAAGCTGTCATAGGAATGTTTATCAATGACAAACTAGTTGGGTTTAGACTTCAGGTTGGCAACGCTTTAGGGTCATTACTACTCCATCAGTTGGGGAGTGATCTGTAGCGGTAAATAAATCTCCCAAATAAATAGCTCTGTAAGTCTTCTTGACATTTGATGCTGACCACATTAGTTTTAATTGACTCACCTAGCTGAAGGCGCTTGGTCATGCATCCGCACCAAATCAAGAGTGGGGGCGCCGTGCTCAACATCCCATGCAGTCGCCAGCCGGTTTTGATCAGCCATTTCTCGATATATTGATAACCTATCAAATATATCTTCGGACCTTCTCGCTTCTGTCTTTTGATTTAACTTGGTGGGTACGATTTCCCGCCTTAATAGTAATATATTTTTCGGCACTATAAAAGATACTTTGCTGATGTCTATGTAGACAATATCCACTGATTTCGAGTGCGGTTTATCCGGTCCTGTTGATTTTTCCGTTTCTAAAGTGGTAAGGGCTGTCAGTAAAATCGGCTTGATTGAAGTCCACTGTGAGCAACCGGTTATGTGACTTTGTATTTGGGTCTAGTTCTTCGTCTAGAAAAAGGTCCGTAGTGAAAGCCGCCCCAAAATTGTTCGCCATAGCCTCTGCTTTGTCCTGATCATCCTCTATCATTTAAGATGTACTCCCCTCAATATTTATGTAGGGAATACAATGATGCGTGCATGTTCCGTAATTTGTGTACGAGAACAGTACCTTCGGCTGCTTCATTACAGATTATGCTTAATGCTTTTCATATTTTTGCCCTGCTGTCTTCATTGTGATAATAGACTTGTTTCGGATCGACCTGTGGCGTCCCATCGTATTTGTTATTCCAAGACTGATGGTGAAGTCCCAATGTTTCTTTTGTCTTAGTAAGTGTCAAATATCTCCGTCTATCCAAGGATAGCCGTATTTCTTGTTTGGGACTGTCCAGGGTATAAATGGTTGAGACACTTGATTGTATGAATGCCTGAAATGAGTCGATGCCTCTTCTGCTGATGTTGCTGAGTCGATTTTCCAATGTACAGGCGAGGCTGCAAAGTTTACCGCTTTCATGTCTGCCTTCCATATGTTAGGACGTGGCGTCGCAACTGCTTCACAGGTAATCTCAGCCATGGACTTGGATAAGATGATCACATGCTCACTTTTCCACAAAGGTGGGGGAGGAAATCACTTGGCTGACATCATCCCCGTATATGAAGAATAAGTCCAAGAGGGACGAAGAGTTTTGTAGGTCATATCTGGAGGGGTCTCCAATGTGCCGGAACAAAGCGAGGGTGAGTATGGTTTCTAACAATTTGTAATCAAACTATGCATTTGATGACTCAGAACTAACAAACCAAATTTATTCGATCAGGTCAGACTACGTTCTTCGTTATAGCGCACGAAGCGTTTTTGGGTGACACGAACTGCGTCCAATCTAAACAGTTACAATTTGAAAATGATGCAGAAATTCGTTAAGCGGGAGCTTATGCTTTTCTGTACACGACAACATTAACTGTGTAGACCGCGTTTCTCAATGTAAACGTTGCACTTAGGCGTGGTGTATCCTCGCTTTGTTCCACATTTTGTGTACATTATAATAACATGTTTCGAAAAAAACTTGAGTCCCAAATCAAAAGATCCTTAATCAAATCAAGGGAAGTGGTTGTGAGTGTTGTAACCACTATTAGGTTACCACCTCACGTAATTGGGTTAAAACTGCTTTAAATAGTATATTAGTTTGTGGCTTCCGTTTTTGTGGAATCCAAAGAGTATGATGTCTAAATCCTACTTTACAATACTTAAACGTAAGTTACTACAAAACCGTACAACGTTAGCCGTGAAATTCAAAGTGTAGTTGAAATACCAAACTAAATTTTTATTTTCCTATTAATCCTCCTTGGTTAGGTGTGTAATAGATGTGTAGTATCTGGAAGTTTACCCCTGGGCTCACTTAGGGTTTAGGAGTATTTAGCATTCTGGTTTAAGCAAACCATTCGTACTCCTGAGGTAATTTTAATTACATTTCCAAGTCTCCTGTCAAAACTCACACAATTGGTGGCGAATCAGCAGTTGCTAACATACCCGCCGCTTATCATTCCACCGCACTGAATTATATCCTGCCTTTGTCGCTTCTGCTTAATATCTTGTGTGATAAAGCTAAAACATCTCTGAAACAGTGATGATCAATCCGAGATCACATCACATTTACCAAAATACCATAAGTAATTTAGTTCAGAAGTAAAGATTGCGACTTTCATCGTGAACTGAGATGTTGATCTTCATATCCTTAGTTCTAGTCATAAAGAAATAAATAACTCAACAGTCGTTTCTGTCTCCTTATTGCCTAAGTGGTTAGGATATCAGGGTTGTTCAGCGGTATACTTAGACCATACAGAGCGCTTTCCAATAGCTCATTTAAAATTGACGACTAACTACGTACTCGTTTAACTGATAGTTCCCACTGTTGAAACCTAATAAGTGACTAAGTGTTTTTCAACTCATTATGGGTTCTAACCCTAACCGAGTCATGGATCTGTATAAACGCTAATTGATGGCGTAAGTCTACTGCGTAGGTGGTCAATTTCCCGTAGTGATGGCTCAAAATGCATCACAACAATGCAGACGGGTCGGATGAATCTGCAACATTAAATTATTTATTTTGGATTCACCATTCCCTTTATCTATCCTCGTTTTTGTCTTTTTGTATAGTGTATATATTTGTCCTTTTTCTTTTTTTCAGAATGAATAAAAATGGAGAGTACCATTTGGTCATTTTGTGTCCCCATTTATCCCATTAATTTCAGTCAGTTGACCCGTTCTTTACTTCAATATGTTAGTTCGTCTGTTAACAAGTTCATCCCTGACCTAAAAGGTATCCTTGTGGATTTTGACGCAAAAAGTTTACAAATCATAACTGAAGTTGATTATTCTGATCGTTATGTCCCTACTGGTTTCACTTGTGGTCTTTTCCTGATTCATCCAGAGTTAAACCATCTTCGTGTACACGGGAAGATAAAGGTCAATATTTTTCGCCCATATTTAGGTTTGGAAGTAGATGCGATTGTTTCAGTGGTTAGACCACAATTTATTCTTTGCCGTACAGAAATTTCCAATGTAATGATTAGTCTTCCACGTTTATCTTCGGAGTCAGTAAAAAAAGAAGAATTCAGTCAGTCCATTTTAAAACCTTTTGACAAAATAAGAGTTAAATTGACTCAAATTGATAACAATTTTGGCTCTCCAATTTTACAAGGTGACTTTATGGAGTGTCTTTCGAAACCCTTATCAAAATCTTCCGAGAAACAGCATAAACATCAAACAAATTCTGCTGGCACTGATATGAGTGATATAAAACCAGTAATAAAAGTCTCCGATGATACTGATAGTTATCAGACTACTTCGTCATTTCATGAAAATTCTTCTGATCCAGTCACTTTTCCGACTAATTCACCTAACCATAAAACACCAAAAGTTAGGAAACCAAAAATTCGGAAACTTGAAGAATCATTACAAGAAGTTGGAGTCCTCGATAATTGTAGTGCAAGTCTATTAACTCATGATGAGTCGCCAGCTGGTTCAGTGAAGAGATTACGAAAGGAGAACTCATCCACTTCCAAAATATTAAAAAAGAAAGGTAATTCAGATTCAGAAGAGATTATCCCTGCTTTATTAAATGATGCACTGTTAAAATGTGGTAGAAAATATAGGTCAAACCATAATCTGTTATCTTCTGTAACTGTAAAAGAGGAACCAACTTGATCTTTTTCCAATAAATGTGCTGTAAACGCATATATACTTATTACTTTTCATATTTTTCATTTATAATGTATAAATAAATGATTATTTTTGGAGTTTTGTTAAGTTCCTAGATCAATCTTTAAAATTATTATGTACAACAGTTTTATTGACAATGAAGCATTTCAGTATTCTAGTGTTTGGTAAATTCCTGCCACTTTCTAATATATACAGATAAACGTGCTTCTGATTACCACAGTTTGTATGATGTCCTTCCGATAAATGGAAGCCGAATGGTCATCGAAAACGTTTTAGAATCCCTTTTCTATTGTACCGCTACCTTTCTCTAAAGGTTTATCACTAAGTATGGTCTGTGATCAATATTCATAATAACTATCTAGGATGCTTAAATAACTACCAATCATAGTCTTATGTCAGTGCATTCTCTATAGGTTCAAGGTAGATACATTCTCTATAGGTTTCTCTTTTCTAGTCATCTTGAACTTTCAGTTTGTGTGCAAATTTTTGTCTGATATATTTAGTTTTCAAACATAGTACCAAAGAATTTTCGAAAACCAAGTAGTTTCGGCGAAGTTGGTTGTATTTACCGACACTGAATAGCTCATAATTCTGGGCTTGGTCAGTATCAATAATAGTGTCATGCCGTAATAAGTGTTCGGTCAGTTTTCTGTAAATATAATCTCTTAAATTTTAACGTCAATAAAAACGCGTATGAACTTTTTAGTTTTATTTTTCTTGGATTAATTCGGGCGTAGTTGTATGCTTGATGAAACCAAGATTTCAGGTAAATGCTCCGAGGAGAGTATTAGTTTTCAAGAGATATCTTTGAAAACCTAACGAAAATATAGTCACGTCTATAATCTAAAAAAGTTAGTCTTACTACTTTTGAATATCAGCAGCAGGCTATTCAACTTGAAAAATGCGTCTTTTTGTTACCTCCAGGTCAAAGTGTTTTGTTTTATATTTAAATTTCGTAGTGGCTGAAAATAGGTTACGTTTGAAGAACTAGATAAAAGTGAATTCGATTATCTATCCACTTACCTTGCTTGGCAGAATGACCATCTAAATGTGACTTTCCCCACCCCTGTTTGCTGATTGTAGTCTTTTACCTTGAAGTGTTCTTAACTTTTAGAAAAATACTAGGTAGATTCCCCAAAACTTATTGTTCACATTGGTCGAACCCAGATTTATGGACACCCAGATGATAACTACGGACGAACCGAGTTATGTTTTGGTTCTTTTATGGCATTTTCGTATATGACGTACCAATCTCCTAATTGCGGCTCACATTGGATTGAAGAAGTTTCTTACATAATGCTAGTGAGAAATGGTCTATATCATACAGAAGCCTTTGAGAAGAACATATTAAGAGTATGAGCGGTAATAAGAGGCTGTGTTAATATAGTTGTTGCGATTGCTGAACAGATATATCATGTATCATTTTGAATTGATCCATTCACAGGTGTTACAAAATTCAAACATATAAACAGTTAGTAGTAGAGTATGTACTCACGTATCCGTTGACTTAAATATCCGGTTAGTTGACAACTTCAAAGAGATTAGTGAGTTGGTTAGGTCCTCAAAACTAACTTTGACTATCTCACAGAGTCCCAAACTGCTCCTTAATTGTATTCTTACGAAATTTTCAGTTTACTGATTAGAATACAGTAAAATGATTTATTGTAAAATGTACTTGAGACTGCTAGGGAATTGAAAATATGCCTGCTTTAAGCCAGGTTACTACGAATTGTTTGAACAATTTAATCTTTTCATCCATCAAAACTTGGTACTCAGTACCTTTCTGATAAGCAACTTTAGGATCAAAGCAATAAGCCCATTTGTAGCATTATTTTTGAACAATAATAATTTACGCTGTTGAGGACAGATTTATTTGGCGAATTTAGCATGAGATTGCTAGCATGATTTATAAACGGAACTAGGTTCCAATTGCATTCTGTAAGTTAACCCTTGAACAACTTGTGAGACATTGTTCGTTAAGCGAAAAGAGATGACAAATCATGCATGGATTTGTGATTTTATAGTCTCTAGATTTAATTTTCGATCGTTGAGTCGTGTGTATTTATTCTTATTCTTATGTAGTGAATTTTAGTAATTAACCGATTACAAAATCCCTAGATCTAACCTTACATCTGTTGAGCTTCTAACTACACTGTTTTGGAGAAAACACTCAAACTGACTAATCACCACTTATTTGGCACTGATTTTATTATTAACTGTAACGATTAAATATTAATGTAGAGCCTTGATGAGAAACTAGTCGAAAAAGACACTTCGCCTAACTTGCGTTTTTAATGTTTCTTCACAAACGAATCAACAAACATATATGATAGCATAGCTGAGAGTGAATTTGGTTCAGTGTCATTAGCCGATTTGCTACAGTGAAGACCAAATCCAAAAACAGCTTTATTTTGTCTTGATCAAAACGACATATTTTGTAAGAGAAACTTTCTATTTATTTATCTATCAGATTAAATATATTTTTTCTTAGTTTAACAGTGTAGTATTATACAACTCTTTCTGTAATCTTAGGGTTCATATCATATGTTTCACTGTATGTTAACCAACGTATTCAAGGATTGAAGTTGAGATAGGTTTTCTAAAGTGATAGGTTATTCAAATTGATAAAAACGACGAAAGCTCGTTCTATTGATAGATTTTATCAAGTGCGTGGAAACTTAGTCATGTTACTGCCTAATAATTGCTCCTTGGTATTCATATGAATAGCGTACTGGCAATCTCTATCAACTTTGTTACAGCTAATGCTCAGGATCAGACGTACTGCCCTTTACTTATCATATAGACTCAATAAGGTTCATTACCAGTTAGTAAGGCTAATCACTCACAACTTCGATTCTAAGGATAGTAGCATTTTATAGACACCTGAAGAGTATAAAAATCGTCAGAAAACATTATTTTATTTTTGTTCCCTGTAGTACTATTTTTTGTTTATGAATATACATGGAAAGATATCAGTGTTTACAGTTAGTTTGTCTACAATCTTACAAAAATGACGGAAATATAACATGATATTAGGGAATGTTGCGTTTTCTTTTACAACTTCGTGAGATAAGCTGAAATAATTATCTAAATTTTCACCACCTAACAGGATGTTAATTTGTGAAATAAAGTAGCAGCAGTCAGCTAATAAACTATGGATCACCGATTCGAACTTTACTCTCTGTATTTCTGTTTAGTTGGTTACTATCAGTAGTCTCTCACATCAAGTGTAACTTTAAACTAACTACACCAAACCTGTATTTGATAAATGATTTTCATGAATAAAATGGATTTCAACTTACAATAAATGAAAATAATATATAACAATGAGAATAAAACTCCATACTGATGTTGCACTGACCACTGGTTATACTGGCATAGTTTGTTCAGATAATTTAGAAAGAGAGATTGTTATAAAACTATTCAAAAAGACAATCAAGTAATCACAGATAATCGCCTAAATTGAGTTTTAGTTAAAAGTTAGATTAATGGAACTAATATGTAGTAAAAGGAAGGATTTCCTCATTCTTGGAGTAAAATGGAATAAAATCACAGGACTTATTCACGAAATTGAGCAACACATCCACCATTGTCATCAGTGAGTAACTACCTCACAAGTGACCCGGTTAAACTACACTAGTCACTGCGCACTGCTGAGGAGTCCCACAATAGGACGAAAGGGCCGTCCAGTGCTTCCAGGTTTTCCATAGTTGCCTAGCATCAATTGACTCATGCTTTCAACTGTTGAAATTACTACAATCTCCACAAAACTCCTGGTATATAAAATAATTTATTGATAGATTAGTGTAGTGATTGATTGATTTAGTGAATGTTTAAGGTTCATTAAATTACTATTTCATTAACATACATTATTCGAAGATTTGTTTTCTATATATATCCTTTAATTTTGATATAAAATTTTATTATAAGAGTATTTCGTACACATTTCTTCTTCGATTAAACCTTGCTGATATTTTTCTTTTACTAAGAGCTTTGGGAAGTAACTAATTCAATGAAGGAATGTTTTTCAATGGCATCATTTAAAACAGTGTATATTTACACATAAATATAGTTATCAGTATAGAAATAGTTTACATCATCATAATAAAGGTATTTGGTTAATATAAATGATTAATCTTTAATTTTTTTATATGCAATAATCCACTTCTCTGTAGTTAATTAGGTATGTGATTAGTTCAGATATTTATCCCTTATCTTACTAAGTTTTATCAGCATAATTTAGCATATAACAATATTGAACAGTCATGCTATTTATATTTTTATTAGTAAACTTTGAGCTATCTTGTTATTAACATTGAGGATTGAATTTTAATCAGTCATTGTGGGCATATATCCATTCTGCGTCGATTGCCTTATCATTATAAATTTTTTTAAAATAGATGGATCAAGGTTTAGTGGTTGAGTGGACAGTACATTGAGCCCCTGAAGCGAATATCTGTGTAAAAATCAACGCAGCTGCATCCAAGTAACAGGCCTACCACTAATAACAATCAGTCTATTCTATATCAATTATATTTTTTATTCTGAAATGTTCAGTAAGTTGTAAATAAATAATCCAGGATATTACATTTGACTTTGTCTACCATATCAGGTTTAATATTCCTAAAATTTTCACTTAATCCTATAAAACAATTATGATATTTTAGCTGACGATAATTATAAGCAGAAATGGTACAGTAAATCTCTCTCTTTTCATCATTTATTTAGTTTAATGTAACTTGTTTTTTAGAAAAGTATTTTTAATTCTATTTTATTATTGCGAAACATCTTTTTCAATTTATAATTTTCAATTATTGGTCTTATTGTGATGTGTGCTACTGATGTTGACAGATATAAGTAGTATGTCTCATCAGTCGTTAGTGAAATGCCTGAAGGTAGAAGGTTAAAATGATCAAATACAAGAAATCAACAACAAAAAATCATTATTATGGAAACAAAAGAACAATGAAGTCTGAGACGATTGACTGATATTTACAAAAGGAACAATCAAGTTCGAGACAATTGATTGACATTTTGTAAATAAAGTATTTGTTATACGGTTCTCAGATCCTACTAAGTGATTCTGTCCCTGCTGGTGTTCTCGTCCATTACACTATGACAGGATTTTCATTTTAATATTTCAGATTTCCTATATTAAAAATGATCTCATTTATCTTAATGAATAAATACTTCTCTGGTTTCATTACTTACTTACGCTTGTTACTCCTCGTGAAGGAACATAGGCCACTCACCAGCACTCTCCATTCAACCTTGTCCTGGGCAATCCTTTCCAGCTCCTTCCAGTTGTTATTCACCCTTTTCACGTCTGCTTCCGATTCTCGACACAGTATGTTCTTTGGCCTTCCTCTTTTCCGCTTC